AAAAAAAAAAAAAAAAAAAAAAAAAAAAAAAAAAAAAAAAAAAAAAACTAAAAATAAAAGAGAAACAGGAGTGATATATAAAGAAACATGTCAGCATAAGTTATAGATTAAACTATAAATTTTATTTTTTAATACTTTTAAATTTTTATTTTATATTGGAGTATAGTCGATTAACAGCTATACTCAGGTGTGTTAGTTTCAGGTGTACAGCAAAGTGATTCAGTTATACATATACACGTATCTATTCTTTTTCAAGTTCTTTTCCCATTTAGGTTATTACAGACTACTGAACAGTTGAACTATAAATTTTAGAGGTACATATCCAGGAAGATATCTATCTATCTATCTATGAAATCTTTTCTCATAACCAAAATTTGAGAAGAAATCTTCCTAAGAGCGTCAGGTGCATTTACTGATGGAACAGACAGTGTCTTCTACATATTTGACGATCAAATGAAAAGTGGTAGAATTCCTTTGTAGTATATTTAACAACTTGAAGTTTTAGTACCAGTTAGATGAAGGAAATTTGTAAGGATGTGAGAGTTATGTGGGGTGGGAGTACTCACACTTTGTGATGCCCTATTTTGTGCTAGGCAACATCCCATTCATTTTACTTGTAGGGTCTTACCAGTGCTCATAATAATACTAGGTAGTGAGATTAATGAATTGAACTTTAAACAGAAATGGAATAATATATGTATTTTTGGCCGCATGGCTTGCGGGATTTCCCCCACCAGAGATTGTCCCTGGGTCACCGCAGTAAAAGTGCCAAGCCCTAACCGCTGGACTGCCAGGGAATTCCCTTGAATAATACTTATAAAGAAACTTTTAGCTCTATTGAATGAAAAATATTGCTCAGTGTTCACCTGTCTTTATCTTAGGGAAAGCTTAGTATACACACATGCATGTACGTGTCTGCATGTGTACGTATAAGTTTACATGTAAACACACACACATAGATAAACACACACATACATACACATATGACCTTTCACAGACTATACAAACATCAACTGGCAGTGACAATGATGGCTAGGACCTCGTTGTCCTGATTTTGGTGAAGTCCAAGTCCTGGGTCCAGCGCTAGGCAGTTGTGTGTCTGTGTGTGGTGATGCCTGGGAGAGTCACACTGACCACCTTTCCCAACAGAAGAGACCCTTGCGGCGATTGGCCATGACAACAATCTCCTCCCTCCTCTTTTGCCCTCCCCCACCTGTTCTCACAGAGAGTACTTATCCCCGGCATCAGGCTTCCAGAGTCTGCAGTTCCGACTGTTAGAAAACAAGCTAGGGGTTCTTCAGAGCTTGAGGGTCCCTTACAACAGAAGACACTACCGTGATAACTTCAGGGGAGAAGACAACGAGCTACTACTGAAGTCCGAGCAGGAAAGGACCCTCCTGCAGCTGGTGGAGGTGTGTGTGCAAAGGCCACTGGGAACGCCTAGCTCAGCACACCTGGTTACTTGAGCTTCTGCGACACCCGGATTTTAAAATTCATATCAAAGTTGGGTCGTGTTCATTGTAAATAAGAGAAGAATGAATGTATAGAAATACTTTAGCTGGTAAATTCCACTAATTAAAATATTAAAAGCTCTCTTGAGAACTTCAGAGAGATTTATATAATCAATGATATGTTAATATTTAATAACCTCCTTATCTTATTATAACAATCCTTTTAAATATTCCTGCTAAGCAACATTGGATTAGCTGATTTTTAAATTGGGTGTGGTTATTTATTGAATGAGCTTTATTTCTTTAAAATATTCCATAATTGAGAAGTTCCACAAGTTGTGTTTCTTAATTAAACTAAGTCACTAAGATTCTATCCTTCAGAATTCTTTCCCTTCATATCTTACTTCTCTGTGGGTCTGTAAATGACCTTGAGGAATTATTAATTTGTTCTTGCATAAGTAAATTATTAAATAAGGATTGTATAGTCTTGAGTTCCTTGACAAAGTCTTTTCCTTTGCAAATTTAGTTTTTATTTTAGTGAATTTGCACAGATTCGGTTTTATTTCTGGATTAAAAATCCTGTGGCATCTTAAAATAATTGAGCAGTCAGTTGACTTCAAAGTTGCTAAGTGTACAATGTCCCTGCGTTTAGAAGAAATCATATCTTATACAGGTCATGATTCCTTCAGCTCCTAAGACATAAATTATTTTGAGAATAAACCAGAAGCCCTCATTAAAAGAATGTATAGATGTGTTCCTAGATTTATAGAAAAAAACTGGGATTTCTGTAATAATATATTTCTTAATAAAGAGTAAATATCTTTAATGTGATTTCTTTTAAGATTAGGAGAATAAAATATTGCTATTTTATAAATGAAGAAATTGAAGGGAAAGAGAAATATTTACCCACAAAAAAACTTAGGATATATGTTTCTCAAAACCATGAAAATTTTCTATTTCAAGTTCATAAATGTTTGTTACAAAGCATTTTACATATTTTAAATTTTACAATGTATTTACTTGAAAAATATTTATTTCAGGCATGGCTGGAAAGAACCCCAGGTTTAGAGCCACATGGATTTAACTTCTGGAGAAAGTTTGAAAACAACATTGTCAAAGGCCTGGAAGAAGAATTCACAAGAATTCAGGTATTTGTGAAGCCATAAGTAAACATAAGTTTGCTACAGGAGAAGTACTGGGAATTTCATTTTAACCATTTTCTATTAATCTTTCATTTTCCTCATATTCTTTTACAAATGCATCTGCTTGGAATATATGACGTGATTGATTTAATTTTACTGATGTGCAATGAAAATTAAATGAAGAAGTTGATTGTAAGCAAGACTTTGAATAGATGAGACTAATAGACCTTTCTCATTTATATTGAAAATATCATGTTATGACCAGTTCTAGACAGAAGTGGGCTCACAAAGGACCAGTGATCCAATACACTAAGCCATATAACTTTCCTTCACTCTGATATGTCTGCTGAGTTCTTCTTATTGGCTCTCAGACAATGTCAAGTTTCTCTCAGTTAAAAAAATATATATTGTAGATTCCTCAATTTCCCTCACGTTATGGGCCCCATATCCTTTCTTCATGACCAAATTTCTTGAAAGAGTTGTTTCAATTCTACACCTTGAGAGGCTGTGTCACGAGGTGTTTAAGGCAGGGACCTGATGCCACAGTCATGGGTCAAGTCCCCCCATCCCTGCTTGGTGACCCTGTGCCATTGAACCCCTCCTGCTACCTAACCTCTCTTTGCTTCACTCCCTTCATTGGCAAAATAGAAAATATGAGTATCTACCTCATAGGATTACTGTGAACATTACATGAGGTTCATATTCGCAGAGTATTTAGAACAGCAGTCAGCATGGTTATTTCTTTTTCTCCATCTAATTCTCGCCCCGGTTCAGTCTGCCTTCCTGCCCGTCATTCACAAATGGTCACTGGTACCTAAATCCAATGACCACTTTTATCTCCATTTTACTTCACTTCCTACTGGCTTTACTACTAATGACTACTTACACTTTCTTGAACATTTTCCCCCATGGTTTTGGTATTAACATTGTGTCTTCATCTAGTGTGCTGGCCCTTGTTTCTCTCTCTCCTTTTCACAAGGGCTCAGAGCCCTTGCATTCCGTCTCTGTCCTCTTCCACCAGTGAACTCGTTTATACCCACTGCTTCAGCATCTGCTAAGACACGAGTAATCCTCAACTGTTTAGCTTAGTTAACTCCTTAAATTTCTTTTTTTCTTGCTTTTTTAAAAAATATTTATTTGGCTGCTTCAGGTCTTAGTTGGGGGCGGGATCTTTTGTTGCAGGGTGGCGCCTCTTCCTTGAGGTGCACGGGCTTCTCTCTAGTTGTAGCTTGCGGGCTCCAAAGTGCATGGGCTCAGTCAGTAGTTGTGGTGCACGGGCTGTTGCCCCGTGGCATGTGGGATCTTAGTTCCCTGACCAGGAATCGAACCCACATACCCTGCATTGGAAGGCAAATTCTATTTTATTTTTTATCTTTTTTACTTTTTATTTTTTTAACATCTTTATTGGAGGATAATTGCTTTACATTGTTGTGTTACTTTCTGCTGTATAACAAAGTGAATCAGTTATATGTATACATATGTCCCCATATCCCCTCCCTCTTGCGTCTCCCTCCCACCCTCCCTATCAACCACTCTAGGTGGTCACAAAGCACCGAGCTGATCTCCCTGTGCTATGCAGTTGCTTCCCACTAGCTATCTATTTTACATTTGGTAGTGTATATATGTCCATGCCACTCTCTCATTTCGTCCCAGCTTACCCTTCCCCTTCCCTGTGTCTTCAAGTCCATTCTCTACGTCTGCCTCTTTATCCCTGTCCTGCCCCTAGGTTCCTCAGAACCATTTTTTTCATAGAGTCCATGTATATGGGTTAGCATTTGGTATTTCTTTTTCTCTTTGTGACTTATTTCACTCTGTATGACAGACTCTAGGTGCATCCACCTCACTACAAATAATTCAATTTCGTTTGTTTTTATGGCTGAGTAATATTCCATTGTACATATGTGCCACATCTTTATCCATTCATCTGTCAATGGACACTTGAGTTGCTTCCATATCCTGGCTATTGTAAATACAGCTGCAATAAACATTGTGGTACAAGACTCTTTTTGAATTATGGTTTTTTCAGGGTATATGCCCAGTAGTGGGATTGCTGGGACATATGGTAATTCTATTTTCAGCTTTATAAGGAACCTCCATACTATTCTCCATAGTGGCTGTATCAATTTACACTCCCACCAACAGTGCAAGAGGGTTCCCTTTTCTCCACACCCTCTCCAGCATTTATTGTTTGTAGTTTTTCGATGATGGCCATTTGACTGGTGTGAGGTTGATACCTCATTGTGGTTTTGATTTGCATTTCTCTAATGATTAGGGATGTTGAGCATCTTTTCATGTGTTTGTTGGCAATCCGTATATCTTCTTTGGAGAAATGTATATTTAGGTCTTCTGCTCATTTTTGGATTTTTTTTTTTATTTTTTTGATATTGAGCTGCATGAGCTGCTTGTATATTTTGGAGATTAATCCTTTGCCGATTGCTTCATTTGCAAATATTTTCTCCCATTCTGAGGGTTGTCTTTTCGTCTTGTTTATGGTTTCCTTTGCTGTGCAAAAGCTTTTAAGTTTCATTAGGTCTCATTTGTTTATTTTTGTTTTTATTTCCATTTCTCTAGGAGGTGGGTTAAAAAGGATCTTGCTGTGATTTATGTCATAGAGTGTTCTGCCTGTGTTTTCCTCTAAGAGTTTTAAAGTGTCTGGCTTTACATTTGGGTCTCTAATCCATTTGGAGTTTATTTTTGTGTATGGTGTTAGGGAGTGCTCTAATATCATTCTTTTACAGGTAGCTGTCCAGTTTTCCCAACACCACTTGTTGAAGAGGCTGTCTTTTCTCCATTGTATATTCTTGCCTCCTTTATCAAAGATAAAGTGACCATATGTACGTGGGTTTATCTCTGGGATTTCTATCCTGATCCATTGATCTATATTTTTGTTTTTGTGTCAGTATCATACTGTCTTGATGACTGTAGCTTTGTAGTATAGTCTGAAGTCTAGGAGCCTGATTCCTCCAGCTCGATTTTTCTTTCTCAAGATTGCTTTGGCTATTTGGGGTCTTGTGTGTTTCCATCCAAATTGTGAAAGTTTTTGTTATAGTTCTGTGAAAAATGCCATTGGTAGTTTGATAGGGATTGCATTGAATCTGTAGATTGCTTTGGGTAGTATAGTCATTTTCACAATGTTGATTCTTCCAATCCAAGAACATGGTATATCTCGCCATCTGTCGGTATCATCTTTAATTTCTTTCATCAGTGTCTTATAGTTTTCTGCAGACAGGTCTTTTGTCTCCTTAGGTAGGTTTATTCCTAGGTATTTTATTCTTTTTGTTGCAATAGTAAATGGGAGTATTTTCTTAATTTCTCTTTCAGATTTTTCATCATTAGTGTATAGGAATGCAAGAGATTTCTGTGCGTTAATTTTGTATCCTGCTACTTTACCAAATACATTGATTAGCTCTGGTAGTTTTCTGATAGCATCTTTAGGATTCTTTATGTATAGTATCATGTCACTGCGAACAGTGAAGAAGTTTTACTTCTTATTTCCCAATTTGGATTCCTTTTATTTCTTTTTCTTCTCTGATTGGTGTGGCTACAACTTCCAAAACTATGTTGAATAATAGGGGTGGGTGTGGGCAACCTTGTCTTGTTCCTGTTGTCAGTGGAAATGGTTTCAGTTTTTCACCATTGAGAATGATGTTGGCTGTGGGTTTCTCATATATAGTCTTCATTATGAGGAGGTAAGTTCCCTCTATGCCTGCTTTCTGGAGGGTTTTTATCATAAATTGGTGTTGAATTTTGTCAAAAGCTTTTTCTGCATCTATTGAGATGATCATATGGTTTTTCTCCTTCAATTTGTTAATATATATCACATGGATTAATTTGCATATATTGAAGAATCCTTGCATTCCTAGGATAAACCCCACTTGATCATGATGTATGATCCTTTTATGTGCTGTTGGATTTGTTTGCTAGTATTTTGTTGACGATTTTTGCATCTATGTTCATCAGTGATATTGACCTGTAGTTTTCTTTTTTGGGGACATCTTTGTCTTGTTTTGGTATCAGGTTGATGGTGGCCTTGTAGAATGAGTGTGGGAGTGTTCCTTCCTTTGCTATATTTTGGAAGAGTTTGAGAGGGATAGGTGTTAGCTCTTCTCTAAATATTTGATAGAATTTGCCTGTGAAGCCATCTGGTCCTGGACTTTTGTTTGTTGGGAGATTTTTAATCACAGTTTCAATTTCAGTGCTTGTGATTGGTCTGTTTATATTTTCTATTTGTTCCTGGTTCAGTTTCGGAAGGTTGTGGTTTTCTAAGAATTTGTCCATTTCTTCCAGAAATTGTCCATTTTATTGGCGTATACTTGCTTGTGTCTTTTCTGATGATCCTTTGTATTTTCTTCAGTGTCAGTTGTTACTTCTCCTTTTACATTTCTAATTCTATTGATTTGAGTCTTCTCCCTTTTTTTCTTGATGAGTCTGGCTAATGGTTTATCAATTTTGTTTATCTTCTCAAAGAACCAGCTTTTAGTTTTATTGATCTTTGCTATCATTTCCTTCATTTCTTTTTCATTTATTTCTGATCTGATCTTTATGATTTCTTTCCTTCTGCTACCTTTGGGTTTGTTTTGTTCTTCTTTCTCTAGTTGCTTTAGGATAAGGTTAGGTTGTTTACTTGAGATGTTTCTTGTTTCTTGAGGTAAGATTGTATTGCTATAACCTTGCCTCTTAGAACTACTTTTTTTTTCACACACACACACTGTATTTTATTTTTACAAGAGATAAATAAACTGACACCAAGCACTGTAAATGGATGACCACAACAAAATTAGAACTGCTTTTGCTGCATCCCATAGGTTTTGGGTCATTGTGTTTTCATTGTCATTTGTTTCTAGGTATTTTTTGATTTCCTCAGTGATCTCTTGGTTATTTAGTAGTGTATTGTTTAGCCTCCATGTGTTTGTATTTTTTTTCCTGTAATTGATATCTAATCTCATAGCATTGTGGTCGGAAAAGATACTTGATATGATTTCAATTTTCTTAAATTTACCAAGGCTTGATTTGTGACCCAAGATATGATCTATCCTGGAGAATGTTCCATGAGCACTTGAGAAGAAAGTGTATTCTGTTGTTTTTGGATGGAATGTCCTATAAATACCAATTAAGTCCAGGTTGTTTAACATGTCATTTAAAGCTTGTGTTTCCTTATTTATTTTCATTTTGGATGATCTGTCCATTGGTGAAAGTGGGGTGTTAAAGTCCCCTACTATGGTTGTGTTACTGTTGATTTCCCCTTTTATGGCTGTTAGCATTTGCCTTATGTGTTGAGGTGCTCCTATGTTGGGTGCATAAATATTTACAATTGTTCTATCTTCTTCTTGGATTGATCCCTTGATCATTATGTAGTGGCCTTCTTTGTCTCTTGTAATTGTCTTTATTTTAAAGTCTATTTTGTATGATATGAGAATTGCTACTCCAGCTTTCTTTTGATTTCCATTTGCATAGAATATCATTTTCCATCACCTCACTTTCAGTCTGTATGTGTCCCTATGTCTGAAGTGGGTTTCTTGTAGACAGCATATATATGGGTCTTGTTTCTGTATCCATTCAGCCAATCTATGTCTTTTGGTTGAAGCATTTAATCCATTTACATTTAAGATAATTATCAATATGTATTTTCCTATTACCATTTTCTTAATGGTTTGGGGTTTGTTTTTGTAGGTCTTTTCCTTCTCTTGTGTTTCCTGCCTAGAGAAATTCCTTTAGCATTTGTTGTAAAGCTGGTTTGGTGGTGCTGAATTCTCTTAGCTTTTGCTTGTCTGTAAAGGTTTTAATTTCTCCGTCAAATCTGAATGAGGGATCCTTGCTGGGTAGAGTAATCTTGGTTGTAGATTTTTCCCTTTCATCACTTTAAAGATGTCCTGCCGCACCCTTCTGGCTTGCAGAGTTTCTGTTGAAAGATCAGCTGTTAACATTACGGGGATTCCCTTGTATGTTATTTGTTGCTTTTCCCTGCTGCTTTTAATACTTTTTTTGTATTTAATTTTTGATAGTTTGATTAATATGTGTCTTGGCGTGTTTCTCCTTGGATTTATCCTGTATGGGACTCTCTGTGCTTCCTGGACTTGATTGACTATTTCCTTTCCCATATTAGGGAAGTTTTTAGCTATAATCTCTTCAGATATTTCCTCAGTCCCTTTCTTTTTCTCTTCTTCTTCTGGGACCCCTATAATTTGAATGTCTTGGTTCAAGGACAACTTCTGTGGGATGTTCTTACCCAACCTCTCTGCTACTATAAGTTATTATGGACAACACTGTTCCTTTACACCACTGCCTATGGTTGTAATTTAACTTAAGTTTTCAGTGTTTCAGTCCCACCAGATAGAGATCAAGGGACTCAATTTTGCTCATGATTTTTATCTCTATCACATTAGCCTTATTTACTGAATAAATCAATAATCAATTGGCTATAGTGTGCATACACATTCTTACCACACAGTGTGGTTGTTCTGATGAATTGAAGACAATTGGGGAAACGGATTTTTGCTCCAGCCCAAGTAATTGAGTTGTAAGTAGCACATGTGTTGTAAGCAGGAAAATAAGAATTTCCTTAAACAAATCAATAGATGTCAAATAAAAAAATATATAACAGTGGAAACTATCTATGGAATTGTATTTCTAGAATACTGCACTGAAGATAGAATTTCAGTAGAATTAGTAGTATCTCTGACTAGGAATTCTTAATTTTTCCTAAGTGGAATTACTTTACTGCCTGTATTAAATAATTGCTGTCTAAAATTAGACCATCATTGACCACTTGTAGTTACCTCCAGCTTTGCCCATCTGAGTCCAGTTTTCTTGATATTTATGAAGAGAGTATTTGGATTTAACAAATCATTTAAACTTAAACAAAAGTATAGAACCAGTGGTATGAGGAAGGTCCTGTCTCATAAGCCGTAATTTCCAAGCTGCAGTATTAGATGATATAGTACATATCCTAAGTACACCCTTTCTGCACCCAGCTAGTTTTTTCTCACAAGTAATGTTTTCTAAAATAAGGATCTCTTCTCTCTTGGGAATATTAATGCAGTATTTTCCCCAAAGGCCAAGGAAGAGTCAGAGGAAAAGGAGGAACAAAAGGCTGAATTTCAGAAGCAGAAAGAGGTGTTACTATCCTTATTTGATGAGAAACGCCATGAGCATCTCCTTAGTAAAGGTAGGCATTTCTATTCCGAGGATCCTTCCCCTGGAATGTAAGACCATGAGATCAAAAAGTCAAACCTTACTTGGGGGGAAGAAATGCACACTGATATTTCCACTCATAGGCACAAGGAATTTTTCATTTGTTGTGGAAGTTAAGTATTTTCTATACCAGGTTTCTCTTTTTTTTTAAGTGACTTAAAATATATTTAATAAACCTTATTTTATAATTCTATAATTTATTTGAAGTATTTCCAATAAGGTGTTCATAAATGATACAGGAACTTAGTATTTAGGAAAAGAAAAAAGGTCAAGTCCTTTTGTATGTGGCTGTTTATTGCTTGATTTCTAACCCTTCCTATTTAAAGGTTTTGAGAATTTAAAGTATGTGTATATATATATATATATATATATATATATATATATATATTTTAAATTTGTCTTTTAAAATCTAATATTAAAATAATGTTTTAAATGATAGTTTTCCAAATTCAAGCTAAGGGATTAAAATATTTAAACGAACATTCACATTCTTTTCTAAAGACATGTGACACAATTATTTAAGATGATGATTGCCAAGTGAACATGAGTGCCTTAAATTACCTATTAAATTAAAACTTGCTATGTGTCTTGCAGGAGAGAGACGGCTATCATACAAAGCGCTTCAAGGGGCCTTGATGATATACTTTTACAGGTAAAAGCAAATCAAAAGAGGAGAATTAAGGCATACAGCATGATTGTTTTAGTTATTTATTTTTGGTTTTCTTTGGCTGTGCTGCACGGCTTGTGGGATCTTAGTTCCCCGACCAGGGATGGAACCTGTACCCCTGGTAGTGAAAGCACTGAGTCCTAACCACTGGGCCGCCAGGGAATTCTCAAAAGAGGTGAATTAGAAGTAAAAATGGAGGAGTAGATACAGATAATAAATCCAGTATAAAGCTTATACATTGCAATCATAGTTTTAAAAAAATCATTTAGATTTGGTGGGGGGGGGAAGCTTAGAAAATAATCGTGAAGTTTCATGAGGTTTTTCTTTATTTTAAATAGTAAGAGTCCAATTTTATACCTGTGGTGGGTAAAAAAACATAAAAACACACACAAATTAATCAATACCCTTTTCATTGAATTCTGCAGAGTGTTATGTACATTAAGTGTCCTAAGGACACAAAGTTTAATCTGTCTCAGAAACTCAGCCATGAAATGGGTTCTGTCACTTAATGATGCTGTTATTCCTGTTTTGTAAAATGAAAAAGAATGAAGTGAAAACACCTTATAAACTGTTGTTCTGCTTGTTCAGCAATTTCAGGTCTGTCTCCACCATCCACGGTGTCTGGGGCATCCACGTCCTGTCCTCCTAGCCACGTGGGTGAACGGCCCATCTTTGTGTTTCATAGATTAAATGTGTCAGAGCAATAGATGGCACACTAGTAAAAAGCAAAATAAAAAATTAAAAAATCTGTGTTTACTGCATGTCTTACTTACTTGGGTTTATTTTTTAATCCTGTCCCATCTATTTTTCAGAATGGCAGCATAAAAAACCCTTCTGTTTTCCTCAAATGTTAGTAAGCATATGCTATTCAGGCTTATGTATCCTCGGCAGAAAATGCACTGAGAGAGCTGGGGGATTAGATGAAAAAGGAAACAAATATATCAGAGGGAGCTGTAACAAGCAGTCTTTGTTTTCACGTTTTAACATCTTTGCCTGGAAGAAGTTTCTGACTGTTATTGGCTAGAAAATCCGAGATGGTGTCCGTGTCTGCCTTTAATGAGAAGGGGTGTGAGGTGCGACTCTGGCGGGTCACTTCACGTCTATCGAGGAATGTTCTAGACTCTTACACACATGCTGCAACATGAGTGGTGTTAAGCCCTTTTATGAGATGAGGAAACTAAGCCTGGGAGAGAGATCAGAGCTGTCACAGCTCCTAAGAGGCAAAGGGGATGTTTGTTTCAGGCCCAACAAATGGTAGAATGTGTGTTCTTCCTGACACACTGGACTTGCCTGAACACTTTTTATTATTATTATTACAATTATTTACTATTATTATTATTATTCTTTTTCTGCCCCAGGGAAGAGCCCAGGTTCCAGGTCCCTTTCCAGCTGCTGACCTCCCTCATGGACATGGACTCGCTCATGACCAAGTGGAGATGTAAGTCCCCCGGGAGCCCCAAGGGCTGCTCCCTCCCTGGCACCCTCCCCTCCCCCATAGCTGTGGGTCGGGGTGGGGCTCCGTAAAAGCAGCCGAGCAGCGGCTCTCAGGGCCGACCCATCCAGGGCGCGGCAGGCGCAGTGCCCAGCGCTCACGGCTCCTCTGTGGGCCCAGGAAGACGCTGTGTTTGATAAACAGAAGAAACAAGCTGGCTTAGGGTCGAAGCAGATTTCGCTTGTAATAGCAATGCACTCCTCTTGGCGTCAGTACAACTTGAAAATATAATTTCAATAGTTCGAGTTCATGGAGGAAGGGCCCCATGAGGACACGAGTAGCGAGGGCTCATGTAAGTCGCAGGGCCTCCGCCCACGGCGTGCGAGGGCTGAGCGTGCGTAAGGATGGACGGACGCCCCGCGCAGCCTGGACCAGGCAGGGCGCCGGGCAACCGCCCGGCACCCTCATCTGCTCACACCTGAGCCTTCCACACGGCTGAGGGATAAGGGGAGGTGCTAATCGTTACCGACCCCCTGTCCTCGGCGCACGTGGAGCTAACGCGTGTGTCTGTCTAGACAACCATGTGTGCGTGGTGCACAGGATGCTGGGCAGCAAGGCGGGCACCGGCGGGTCCTCGGGGTACCAGTACCTGCGCTCCACAGTGAGGTAAGCCGGGCATCCCTCCTCATCTCGGGGACCCACCAGCGCCTTTTTCCCCACGGAGATGCGCCTTATCCAGGAAAAGTCACTTATACTCCCTCCTGTCTGGACTGCCGGCAACCCATGTATCCTTAGATTAAGGGACTCCTCCGCCTTCGGAGGTCACTGAAAACATCCTTAGTTCTGGAAATTCATCATTGCATCCTGGGATGCGAGGGGGCGGGTACCGATGTCTGCATGACCTGGGAGGGCAGGAACCAGGTAACCCAAGAAGCGTTTTCAACTTATTCTGGCTCAGGTCTGGGCTAGACTAAAATGGGTATCATTGATTCCGCCAAAGTCCTCCTGGCCAGATGAATGACACAGCTGAAAATAGGTTCTTGTTTGCCGAGATGACTCTCTTGTATAGGATAAAAACTACTCCCATGTGCTCCAGAGACTGCCTTTTTATATTGTTTACAAGGAAAGAAAGCAACATTTACTGAGCACTTCAAACATGCTAGGGAGATTTCTAGGACATTCATGTTCTTACTTTATTTAGTATTCACAGTATTATAGACAGATGGATATACAGATAGACAGACACATCTGAAAACTGGGAAACTTACAGAGCCCCGTGGGAAAGGAGAATCGAGAATAAATTAGATTTAGTCTCCAAAATTCTTTTTTTAAAATTTTATTGCAGTATAGTTGATTTCCAATGTTGTGTTAATTTCTGCTGTACAGCAAAGTGACTCCAAAATTCTTTATAATTCACTATTTTCATCCCTACTCTTACTACCTGATTAAGTTATAAAACACAGTGTTTCTATTTTCATCATTTGTAGAGATTTTCAGTTTCCCCGGGAGTAAACGCTAGGCTGAATGGGTCACAAAAGTTATTGGTTTGAATTTTCACAGTCATTACACATTTTCTCTTTTCCTGGGAGTAAATTCTGTAAGCAGCATGAAACTGTAAATGATTGTACGTAACGAGCACCGCCATCAGGGGTGGTGGGAACGGTGAACACAAACAGCCTTCCTGGTGTGTCATTTTCTCATTAAATCTTCACAAAGGCCTGGTTAGAGGAAGGGATTGTAGTTTTTATCTTACAGAGTTAGAAACCAAAACACTGAGCTTTAGACAACTTGCCCAGGGTCACATGAGTTGCAAATGAAAGAGCAAAATTTGAACCCAAATTTGACTTCAAAGACAAATGTTCTTCTGCTATAAAACTGCAAGTTAAAATAGTTGACTAACAAACACATGGCAATTTTAAATGTGAAAATCACTCTCATAGACATTTACTATAAATCTAAGATGGCATTTCAATTTATTAATGCACTCATGTCACTTATCCGGCAACAACTTAATGGGTGGGAAATATTTTCTGATGAACAACTAGGAATTCTGTGTGCTTTCAATTTATAATTTTGCATCCTGTCCTTTAAAAGTCAGAAACTAGGACACACCCTTATCTTTATGAAGGTAGCATGACAATAATAAAGCTCTAGGTTTTAATGTGGACCAGCCTGGTCCAGATCACTGAAACACGTAATATGGTTTTATGGGCATGAACCTTGGATGTGGAATAAAAATGAAGCAATCTGAATACTAATACTCTTTGATATACACAACATGGAACATATAATAATGAATACTAATTATTTACGGCAAAATATCATTATTGGAGAAATTTAAAAATCTCTCATGTCAATAAGTCTGAGACATCTGTATGTATGTGCTTCTCCAGCGACAGGTACAAGGTGTTTGTAGACTTATTTAATCTCTCAACGTATCTGGTTCCCCGACACTGGATACCGAAGATGAACCCAGTTGTCCATAAGTTCCTTTATACAGCTGAATATTGTGACAGCTCTTACTTCAGCAGTGATGAATCAGATTGAAATCATCTGCAAAAATTTATGAAGAACACTGATTTCTCAGTCTGTGGTCTTTATTGTCTATGAATTTTCATGACTATGCAGACTCCTAATGTAATATATGTTTATACATATATATAGCATATATAGAACTGTAGCACTGATTCAACCTAAAAATAATTTTATTACTGCATGTTTGTGATGATATCAGACTCAACAGTAAGAAATTCAGTTACATTGTAACATTGTACCTAGTGTTTTCCTATTAGAGACAATGTCCCTGTGTTTACCTTAATGTAACCATTTAATGTAATAATTTTCTCAGCTTCATACCTTATAAGCTTGTAAACTTCAGCTATTTCAAATATTTTATGCAATAAAATGTGTCATTCTGTACAAAGATGTGTTCAGTCAAAAAGTTTTGTAAATAGTAAATAAACTTTAGTCTTTTGACATATACTGTTTTGGAAACATTGTATTTGTTAGGACTCTTGGTGACCAAGGACAGAAATCTATCGGAAACTTACCTGCAGGGGGTTTATTGGGCAGTTTCTCCCGTAGTTCCCAGAAGTGAGAGAGGCTTGGGGAGCCTGGAGGCACCGGGATGGATCCAGCTCCTGGAGAACGCCATTCCCCAAATCTTGGAGGACCTCTGTCTCACCTCTTCTTCTCTGTCGGCGCTGGCCTCGCCCTGCCCTGTGGGCACCAGCTCCATCCTCAGGCTGTGTCCCTCTTCCTGCACCTCTGGACTCCCCCCAGCCCCAAGGCACGTGTCTGGCAGCCAGAGCCCACCCTAGCGCACCGCAGAATTGAGGTGGCGGGGAGTGTTCTTTCCAGAGGAAAGGAGAGGTGAACAGAGGAAGCAATGACCCGGTTCGTTTGGCATAAAATGGGTTAGATCGAGTTTAGATCACACAGGAGTTCCTTTCTTCTTTTTCTAGCTCAGTCTGTCAATACCTAGTGAAATTCCTGTTATGAGGGGAGTACAAAATATTATCAAAGAACTCTGGAATGCACAGCCACCTTGACCGAGGGTGCTCACCTACGGCAAGCAGTAGGTTCTTGATGGAAGTGAGCTATTCTTTGGTCTCAATTACAATTTTCTTATAAGGATCATATTGTCTAGTTTGTCTCTACACTATTTACATATACTTGCTTTTGCCTCCATGGCGTGTGTGTGTGTGTGTGTGTGTGTGTGTGTGTGTGTGTGTGTGCAGGGACAGGTACATGGTACCAGATGGTGGTTAAGCTGAAAAATCCAGAGACAAGTAGCGAGGCCATGACACTCCCTTTGAAATAAGTCAGCAAGTTTGAGATCAAATGCACCTATTAATTATCTTCTTTGGTCCAAACCACCAGTTTAATCCCCAGTTTCCTCTCTATGTATTGGGATAAAATACTTATAATCTTGGCTTTTTCTCAGGAAGTAATGAAGAAATATGTTACTGGATATTCCGTCCATCAAGATGCCTTGGAATCCTGGAATAAATGCTATTTGTCAAGGCACATTCTTTTAACAGACTAAATGAATGATCTGATTTAGTTATTTTTATCTCTGTTTCTTGGTGTGACTAGGTTATATAGGTGTAGTTTTTTTCAAATGATGTATCACTAATTCTTACGTAAATGTCGAAACCACTCATAAAGCCAGTTAGTACCCTTGCCCCATTTAAACTTGCTTCTAGTGCCTACGACCCACTTTCAATAATTCTTAAATGAATCATGAATCCCTGTAGGGCTAATTTAGTATCTACTCTGAGATCCCAGTGGAATCACATCCAGGAACATCTTGGTTATTTTCATTATGACTCCTAATTATTATGTGAAGATTTCATTGCTCTCCTCTCGGCCTCACGGGCGAACGTCCAGCAGCTGGTCAGCGCGGGAGCACAGCACACGCCCACGTGGAACAGCAGATGGTGAGGCTGAGAAGGCAGGAAGGGGCCTCTTTGGGAAAAGCTCATTTAGAAAAGTTGATATGTTATCTTTTAGGCACCGGGAGCCCCTGAATGGGCTAAACCAGAGGGATAACATGAAAATGGGGTCTTTTAGAAATGTAAACCCCAGGGACACAGAACAGATGCATTGTCAATCCGTCCATCACAAACACCCGGGGGGCTGACGAAACAGTTTCCAAGTCCTCAGGTGGCTCCTGGTCTGGGGGCCGTACTTGAGAAGCCCCAGACTGAGGGACGAGGAGTCTGGTGGGTCGACTCCTGAGCAGTGGGGGTCAGAGATGCTAAAGAACGTGCATCGAGTGAAGGATGGAGGAAGGAAATGGAGAGCAGGTGGGTGATTAGGTGCTGGTCCTCAGGTGTGGCAGACCTGATGGAACATCTAAGATTTCCCTCAATTTTACTGATTGGGTTATTACACGATGCTAATGCTGTTATCCGAAACAGAGACTCCAGGAGGTGTGGGCATTTGTTGTTTTTTAGGTTTTTCGTTCTGTTGTTTTGTTTTGTTGTTTTGAGGGGGGGAAGGAGATAGTTTGCAGACATGGAAGTTAAGATGTCTATGGAGAAAACCAAAAATTAAATATACGGGTTTGGAGCTGAGAAAACTCTTGTGTGAATGTGAACCGCATTAACACTGTGTTCACAAAATGTAAGCCATACACATGGACAGAGTCTTCTTAACCCAAAGTCAGATACAGGTCGTTTTATTAAAAATGTTATCAAAATCCAGAAGAGCCGAGAGGTATTCATCACTTCGTAATTCAGAAGGATATTGATCTTTGTAAAAGAGTATCAGAAAAGCGTTCACACGTTACAGGAATTAGTACATGAACGCGAACTGCAACCATCAAGACACAAGTCCTTTGTGGCATAGCTGGGTATTTAGAATATTAGTCAAACAGAATATCAACTTGTCATTTCTAAACCTGAGTCAACACATACTCTTTTGAAATTGCTTCTTGTTGGTGTAAGGAAAAGAAATAGTGTCTTGTTTTTGATTTTCTTCTAATAAGGAGAGTGATAAATAAAGGCCAACCATGAGAGGAAAAATGGGATGTCTCAATTTTTTTCAGTGGTTATTGCCACCTCTACAATTATGCTTTTAAGATAGTCTACACTGGACCGCGACCGAGAATTTGAGAGAGGAGATACTTACATACGTAGTACTTGATACAACTTTATCAGTTAACTCACACAATACGATTCAATCAGAAGAGCAGCTTTCATGCTCCGAGGTTCTTACACGACCAAGACTAATGACCCTGCGAAAGAGGAGTTGGACCTCGAGGACCAGGGACCACGTGGAAAGCCAAAGGGACGCACGAAAAAGTAGTTAGGATGGAGTCTGGGAAAAATAAGCAGAAAACTGGGACAACAGAGGCTGGGAAACACATTTTGGCTGATACCCCAGATTAATGAGGTTGAACTTTGAAAGAGGTGGGGCGTCCAAATGATGGGCGGACAGACAGGTGAGGTCCTGATGCTGATCAAGGCTTAGAGACAACTGGAGCCAACTAACTGGCCCTAAACTGAAACGGAAAGTAAACAATGAGACTTCTTTCGCCAGGGAAGCCGCACCACCAGGAGGATTTAGAAGTTTCACGGCCAAGAGTAAGGGGAAGAGTGAGAAAATGTGAGAAGACACACCGCTCCTCAATCCGCAAGAACAAAGGAGGAAATAAAACGTACTGGAACTCTCCGGGCCGTGAAACCCCCGAATAATTTGTCTTCCAGGCAAGGCTACTTGAGATTTTCCTATCACTTGGTTGCCATATTGGTCATTTAGTTTCAATCAGGCTAACTGTCTGCCTTAAAAAGTAACTTTGTCTCTTTGCTTCTTTCTACATGATCTGCGCAGGTCACGGGTCAGCCCATGTGCTGGGGAAGAGCAACTGGCCCTTCAACATTCCTTCGAAATTCCATCCTGGAGGGCTGGGAATGCAGCTGGGAGGGGCACACCTAGTTCTAGGCTGGCTATTCCTGTACGCAGGGCACTTGGGCTGGTGATTTTATCCCATAAAGGAAAAGGGATTCTTATCACCTCTTTAGTCCGATTGGAAATACGTCATTAAAAATAAAGAAACGGCAAACAGAAACAATGATCAAACAAACCAGACAATAGCCTTTTCAGAGTGAAGAGACCTAAAATACCTCCTAATCTGACCGTCCTCCCAGTAGGAAACTGTCCCACAGACTTCCTCCCAGGCCATGGTGCTGGTTTTCTTCCTTCTGACCTTGTCCATCTCTCTCTAAGAAGAGAATATTCTACAACTTATCAATAGTTTCAGCAGGACCAGGCCCTAGAGCCTGTCTTTTGTGGGTAGTTGCAAAAGCCTAAAGATGAAAATGCCAAGAATGAAGTATCACATCTCATCACGAGCCTTCGGTTTTGTATCTGTCTCTTGATCTGGCGAACATATCACACGAATACAGCAGAAACAGATTCTGCAATACCTGAGGAAAAGGAAACGATCAGTACTACTCTGTTTCCTCCTTATATGCCTTTTAAATAGCAAATTAAAACAATTTTCATTTGGGTTCGGAAAGAGTTAGTATCTACTAAGAAAATCACTCACTGGTGATAGCTACCTGTCCATAGCGACACGGCAACCTCACACACAGATATAAGAAGAGATACCTAATATTTTTATTTCAGTAAACTATTAAAAATCCCCAAACGACTTATGAACTGAACAGGTGAATGTATCTGAGATCTGTATCGCACTCATACATATTGCTTAGAGGCAAAACGATAATTTATAGGATTATTTTAAACACAATTTGAAAATTTAAATTCTAAGATTTGAACTTCAACAACATTTCAATAAATCCCCAGCGTGCTCTGTGGTCGCAGATCAGAATGTCGTGGCGGAAGTGATCAAACATCCTGTTTGAGGACTGGATTCCTCTGTGATGAGCTGCGTCTCTGAAATCTCTTGGGGCCGCGGAATGCTACCTGCCTTCCGCAGCTGGTCGTGAGAGTAATGTGACCACCCCAGGGATGTAACTTTCAGGAAATACTCCCTTTCAGAAAGGATCTGGATTCCTGTATAATGACGAACCAGGCAGGCCTTGGAGACTTAAACTGGGAAACGGGTACAGGGCAAAGATGATCCTGACTCACGCTTTGTAGCTGGGGGCTGGGAAGAGGTGGGGATGCAGTGATGCTGAACCAGCATCCGGATCACGTCCTGGCAGCAACCCTGCCAGGACTGTGAAAGCAGCCGCCCTCAGCCCAGATGCAGGCCCCTCACTCCGCAGCTGGGGATGAACTGTGGGGGTAGCAGGGCTTCCAGGAGTGGCAGCGGCCCTTTATCTGCAGAGCCCCAGTGAAGCTGAACGCAGAGGCCTGGCGGGGGTGCTCGCGCTCTGGCTGAAAAGCTTCTGTGAGGCTGACTCTTGTTAATAAATAATTTATGAAAAATTGTTTACTGGGGTGATGGAACAGGCCATTTACTAAACTACACGGATGCGGCTCTGTGGAACGACAGAGCTGTCGTCGCTAGACTGAATCAAAATATAAGCTCTCAAAGTTTTCCATAACTCTCTCTTTTTTTTTTTTTTTTTGAGGTACACAGGCCTCTCACTGCTGTGGCCTCTCCCGTTGCGGAGCACAGGCTCCAGACGCGCAGGCTCAGCGGCCCTGGCTCACGGGCCCAGCCGCTCCGCGGCATGTGGGATCTTCCCGGACCGGGGCACGAACCCGTGTCCCCTGCATCGGCAGGCGGACTCTCAACCACTGCGCCACCAGGGAAGCCCATCCATAACTCTCTTTTATCATAAATATCACAACCTGGGCTGTTCTACAATTTTTAAAAAGTTGTACACACAGCATAGTTTGGGTCCAACTTGATTCAGAAAATATGCTGATTTTCTAGATCAAAAAGTTTAGAACAGAATTTGAATATGGATTTTAGAATACGTTTAACATACTTAAATAGCTATCTTAATTTGGTTTGTTGTTAATTAATAAAAAGTGTTATTCAACGAAAGAGCATGTTTGGCATTCTTTTAAGCCTCTCAATTCCAGTGAGTAGAATTTTTTGCTAGAATTTTGTAGGTGACAAGGGGCATATTAAATCAGAAACAACCCTAATATTCAGATTTTCACCCATTTTGATACAAAGAAAAAGTGATTCTTGATGATCCTAGAGAAGGTATTATAATACATAAAATAATGGAAAGTAATGCAATTATAAAAAGTAAATTTGGAATTGGAGACATTTCTGGAAAAGCTCAGCCTCCTAAGTGGAATTTTTTCTGGTTTTGGAAGTAGTTAACTTTGGTAAATTTTCGCCATGTCTTACAATGTTTTGCACATTACACTGGTTTTTACTACAGTCCCTCTTCCTTTTAAAAACATGAATGTGTACAGTAGTGTCTTTTTTAAAAAACACTGTTGTATTTTTATCAATTAGTTAAAGGATGACAATTCTTACTGTAAAAGTGATCTAAGTATCCTGGACGCACACTATGGACTGGATGGGCTATAATTTTAATCTATTCACAGTCTCTCCCTTGACATTTAGCCTGGAGTTTTGAATATCAACTCACGACTCACCACAAATGTTTCCTCCCATTTTTACGTGGACACAGCCGTCTATGCCCCAGGAAGTTCCCCAGGAGTTCCTCACGATCCAGTACGGGGTACTTCCTAAAAAACATGAAACAAACCCTGGAGAACCTATTTGTGGTGAAAGAATGTTTATTTAAAGTTCAGTTATTGAAAACTACAGTGGCTCTAAGAAAAAGGTAAAAAATGTAATGAACTGCTAACAAACCAGCCAAGTAAACTTGATCAGTACTAGTGTCACACGCCCATCAATGGAAAATGTGTTTGAATTCATTTCACTTAATGCAGTTTCTGCAGAAAATGAAAACACACATCCTTTTCCAGGGACTTAGAAAAAGGAAAAGAAAGAAAAAAAAGGATCCTTAGATAAGTATAAGTACTTCTCTTTCCCAGCAGTTACCCTAAACATTCCAGATGGAGAATGCCCATTATTTAGATCAGGAATTTAGTGTCATTTCAACGAGGCATCTACCAGATTGACAGTGGGACCCGCAGGGCGTGTATACCTGGAAGTTTAGTGAAAAGTTGTAAAGCTCATGAGGACTTAGACGTAATAGGACCAGGTTTCAGCGTCTTAAAGGATGGCAATCACTTGTCAAGCTGGAGTTCAAGCTGCAAAGCAATTGGTCGCATCTCACCAGCACTCACCTGTTTTATCAAAGCCGGTTACCAGAACGGCGTGATTTGCTTCTCCGCTAGAGCAATGATGCTGTATGATGCCTCCCAGATAATCTTGCCAGCTCACGGCATCTACTACCACTATCAGAGGGCCCAAGGTAAGCAGTGCTTTTGCCATTTCGTCTTCTTGGTCACTACCAAAAGAGGAAATGTTTGGTTAAGAAGTTTAGTTTTTCAGGTACAAATACTTTATAAAAGTGATCTATTTAATCTGTATATGGGTAGGAGTAGGTTTGGTTGCAATTATCAAGCCCTAATCGATGGTGGCTAAAAGAAGTCTGGAAGACTGGCTGTCCAGGAGGGCTGTGGGACACCAGGCTCCGGACGCGCAGGCTCAGCGGCCGTGGCTCACGGGCCCAGCCGCTCCACGGCATGTGGGATCCTCCCGGACCAGGGCACGAACCCATGTCCCCTGCATCAGCAGGCGGACTCTCAACCACTGCGCCACCAGGGAAGTCTGCCTCCACCTTTTACTTTTTCCATTTTATTTATTTTTTTTGCTGCACCATGCGGCCCACGGGATCTTCCTGGACCAGGGATCGAACCCGTGCCCCCTGCAGTGGAAGCGGAGTCCTAACCGCTGGACCGCCAGGGGAGTCCCGCCACCTTTTAAAGGTAACAAAAGCTATACAGTAGATACAGGACATCAACGACACCTTACAGGGACGGTGTGAGGAAAGGAGAAGGGCGGGGGGGTGGGGACAGAAGCTGGAGGGCAATGAGCGCTGTGGGCTGATGGAAGCGATTTAGTTATCATCTCTGCTCGAGGCAGGACGAGGGAGGTTGCACAGCTGTTGGAAAATAGGAAATAGGAGTGCACGCCACGGTCTAGACCAGCAGGGAAAGGCTCCATTTAGCCCCAGAACTGCGGTCACTTGTCTTTCAGAGCAGTGTGGGCTGGAAACAAGTGAAAATATGCTCCGAACAGTATCTTTATTTCCATTTTTAGCCCAATATGGAACTACTATCAAATTATCAAACCTTGTTCCATGAGCTTACTAATAATTTTACACATCAGTAAGATACAAATCTCGCAGTCTTCAAAGAATTCTCCTAATCTTTACTGTCATCCAGATTTGGTGATTAAGGCGAGTCTTACCTGTTGCAGACCCTGGGTAAGTGTGTAGGTTTGCACCGCAACCTCCCTAGAATTCAGCGTGGTATACTGCTTCCTAGTGTTTCAGTCTCTTGTTATATGTAGTAGGTTCTTTCCCTTTTTGTTTGTTTCACCCATAAATATTTTATTTTATTTAAAAAAATTTTTATTTTATATTGGAGCGTAGTTGATACACGTTGTGTTAGTTTCAGGTGTACAGCAAAGTGGTTCAGTTATACCTATACAAGTATCCACTCTTTTTCAGATTCTTTTCCCTTTTAGGTTATTACAGAATACTGAGTAGAGTTCCCTGCGCTCTACAGTAGGTCCTTGCTGGTTATCCATTTTACATACAGTAGTGTGTGCATGTTAATCCCAAACTCCTAATTTATCCCCCTGCCACCTGTCCCCTGGTAACCATAAATTTGTTTTCTGTGTCTGTGAGTGTTCCTGTTTTGTAAATAAGTTCCTTTGTATGACTTATTAGAACCCACATCTAAGTGATATCATGTGATGTTTGTCCCTTTCGTTTATTTAAATAGTGATGCTTATATCCTAGTTTGACTCCTGAGATGCTTCTCCTGAGGTCTGATGAGCAAAAATGCAGAACGCAGCCTGAGTACGAATGATCATTTTGCTTTTATGACTCAGTGTGGTTTTTTCTTTTAGATCTTTTTAGAGTCACCACAAGATTTTATGAAGTGTTTGGCTGGTAGCTGTGCCCTGGGCTGATGTTGTCTGAGACTACTCAAAAACTAAGAGAGCATGACCGTACAAATAGAGGTCGGGGGAAAAGCATGAGCTTCAGAACTGGCCTGACATGAGCCCTAACCAGGCCCTGCGGCTGCGGCTCAGGTCCTCCTGGGGAAGCGGTAACATTCCAGGGCAGGGGCTTGCCCAGCGCCGGGTCACAGCAGATGCCTGGGGACCTTCCCACACCCTCTGGCCCTTACCCTGCGGTGTGGCCAGGCAGCCAGGGTCCCACTAGGAGACCCTGCAGCTCTTGCCTGAGGCCCTTCTCCCCTCAAGATCCTGGAAAGCAAGCCCACGTCCCACTGCTACCTCCGCTGCGCCCTCAGCTACTGAATCCTGGGAGGTGATGTGCGCCAACTGCGGCGGGACATCGTCCCTGACACACACATCCTGCCCTGCATCCCAGAGGTCCCCAGTAGGACTGAGGGCCGAGTTACCCTCAGACCTAATTTGTGTCCCGAGGACACCCGGCCCTCCCTGCTGTCTCACGCCCTAGTCCCCTCCCGGTGCTTCCTGGGGTCACTTCCTACAAATCTGATGTTCTCTGTTCTGTCGTAGACTCTCCCAGCTCTATTCATGGCGACTCCATCCTTTCAGTCTTTCAGGGCAAAAAATCCCGGAGTCCCCTGTGATGCTCTTCTGTATAAACTCAGAAACATCCCTCTGTATACCCTGTGGGGCTTTAGTCTCCACCAGGTCTAAGGCCATTCTCGTAACACTGCTCAGGTTATCACTGACGACCTGTCACCTCATCACTTGCCCATCTTGCTCTTCTCTCCGTGGCGGTCACACTGGCGTCCTTACTGCTCTTTAACTATGCCAGACCCTTGTCTGCCTCAGGGCCTTTGCATGTACAGTTCCTTCTGCTGGGAACACGTTTCCCCAGGTATCTGCAGGGTTACGTCTTCACTCAAAGGCCACCTCCTCAGGGACCCTCTCCCTGGGCTCCCGTCCCGAGACTGTGCACCCCTCCCGTGTCTCCTCTTCACCCCACGGCTGCTTTGTTCTCTTTAAAGTTATTTCATCTAACAGACCAGGCATACTTTTATTTCTTTCATTTATTTCTTGTCTCTATCACTAAAATATAGTCCTGAGGACAGGATTTTTGTCTGTTTTGTTCACTTCCAAATCCCCAGAACCTAAAACAGGGTTCAGTAAATACGAATAACTGAATAAATCAAAGGAAGCTCTTCTTGCAGAGTCTAACGCAGTGAGCTTGGCGCTGTGTTCTCAGAGTTAACTGCTCGCTGTAACGTGAGGGATTTCACAAGGTCCTCTGCCTTCTAATCCAAGGGCTGGAGGAATCCTGCTTCAGACCCCAAGCAGTCACCTTTGCATTCTCTCCCTCTCCCTCTCTCTCTGACTCAGACTAGTGCCTATTATTCTTTTGTTTCTTCCTAACTTTTTCAGTCTGCTCCTCATGACAAGGGATGCCCTGAGTCCTTTCTAATGACACTTTGAAGATGCAGTTCCTTCGTGTGCAGACGCTTCCCTTAGACTCTCCAGGAGCTGACAGCTTAGAGACGCACTTGCTTGTTTAGAAAGTGCGTGAGCTTCACCCTCAAGGGAGGTGGGGGCCGACGTGCTCAGCGACCCTGCCCGTTTATCGCGGATCCTGTGCGTCCTCCCTCGGGGCCTGAGGCCGCCTGGTGAGAGCCCCTCCCGCAGACGGGAGCCGGGTACAGTTGGCCGTCTACGGACGCAAGGATGCTGGCGTAGCAGGGTTCCGTTTTGCTCAAGGATCCAGATGCACCCGTGATTTCTTTCAGATCCCATGGGGAGACTCCATGTGCACCCAGAGATCCTTTTATATTTACTAAGTAGTAGGGCAACCTGTCACCTTCGCTGAACTGATTTTAATCCTTCTGTTTTCTCTGTTTCGAAACGCTGTGACAAGCTCCCTTCATATTTTTAAAAAACGAAGCCAGGCGCTGCGTGGCTCTCCTCATCCCTGAGCACCTGTTTTGCACGAAATCAAATGGTCGTAATGGTTCTCTAGCCGGCTCTGAGTTTTTTTTTTTTTTTTTTTTTTGGCAGTACACGGGCCTCTCACCGCTGCGGCCTCTCTCGCCGCGGAGCACAGGCTCCGGACGCGCAGGCCCAGCGGCCGTGGCCCACGGGCCCAGCCGCTCCGCGGCATGTGGGATCCTCCCGGACCGGGGCACGAACCCATGTCCCCTGCATCGGCAGGCGGACTCCCAACCACTGCGCCACCAGGGAAGCCCAACTCTGAGTTTTTAAAGAATTTTTAAATGATTATTTTCTCCTGAATCTGTCCAAAGTCACTGTACCCTTCCAGTCCCAACACAAGTCCTCTTCTCCGGCCTCCCCATTGCGCCTACAGATGTGCTACGTCACCTGCTCTTCATGTGCTCTGCCTTCTTGCCTCTCACATGAAAACTGCACTTCATGTTTTCCTTACAGCTGATCACTTGAGAAATGCAAGGAACACAGAGTGCGTTCAAAAATGCTTCTTGGTAAGTAGACGGCTTGACGTTAGCTGGAGTCTACACCGAGCAGTCTTTCATTGATTCATGAGTAAGACTGAAATACGCTAAAGGGACGTGTGGCACTTAAACTTGGTGAGAGGTGGTGAGCGTCAGTTATACTTTAAACTGGATTGAAACGTGTTAATTTAAGTGTGTTGTTTCTATTTGTAATGACGTGGGAGAAAGCAGATCATATTTAAGAAACAACGTACATAGACCTCCACGTTGATTACCAATTTTCAGTAAAAAGGCCATTGTAAAACAAGAGTAGGCAGTGATGCTGTCAATCAACTTATTCATTCCAAATAATCAACAGATAATAAATTAAGAGATACAGAGAGACACTTACCGGAAGTCATAGGCAGAATAACCTTTGATTGAAAATCCAGAATGTGAGTCAGAAAAGTAACGGCACAGACCATTCTGGGCTTTAAACGGGTATTCTGAATCTCTCACCAGCTTCACTTGCATCTAAAAGAAAATGCACGCCCAAAGTTATCTCTGTCACGGGGCTGTGTCAAAAATCAATAGAACTTATTACCATGTGTCAAAATAAGATTAGCCTGGCCACACCTTCATCGTGTGGGTATTCTTTGAGTTATGAAAATCTTAAATGAACGCTTTAGGTGTTTTATAAGGACATCCTAGGTACTTAAACTCAATGTCTTTCTTTGTCTTTGGCTCCTGTATTTCCTGTGTTACGTTTCCCGGGACCTCCGGTGATCTGATGATAAAGTCTGCCTCTCCTTCTCCCGAGGGTACAGGCGTGTAAACCGCTCTCCTCCCACGGCTCTGGCTCTGGGTGGCCAAGCCTTTGAGGCTCAGGCAGGGCAGTGGTCCTGCGTTGTGCTCACAAGCATCCTTCCATCCACTTCTCTCGCTGCCATTCACTTGGCAAATGCCACACACCCGTACAGTCGTCGGGACCGAACCCTCTCTTTCGGAGAGCGGGGCTTATGCGAGCATGGGCACACGCTCTACCCACTGCTGCCCATAACATGTACAGAGCATCAGCGTCCGGTGTGCGGTGACTCAAAACACAGCAAATGAGTAAGAGGGGGGCCCTGGAGCTTGGGGAGCGCTGTCGTGACAAGCTTTCACAACACCTCATCGCTGGCTTCACGCCACTGCTGCTGGACCTAGGACAGCGTCAGAGGGTGTTTAGTGCTGGGGAAGCCTCTGGAGGGGGAGAGACAGGGTGCAGCCCCATGCCAGCTACTGACGCGCAACGTGGGCTCAGCCCTGCGCCTACAGAGAGCACCCAATCAGCTGACCGCTAATCCCCTGTAAACCTGAACACTCGGAAATTCTACGGAAATGAATACGCTCTCAGCTTTGAGTCATGTGACACACATCTGCAAAAAAAGAAGCATCTGTTAAGTAATGTGAGGAAATAAACATAAATATTTTTCTGAACACCAATTGCAGGTAAGATTTTTCATACTTTGGTTTCACTATTGATGGCTGACCTGCCCAGAAGCAATTCTTTTTTTCTTTTTTTCTTTTTAAAAACCTGAAATTGATTTTCACATGGTTCTGGACACTGGAAGTCCAAGGTCACAGTCCGATCAGGTCAGGGTCCAACCTTATGGCCTCATTTAACCTCCAGAGCCTCCTGAAGGCTCTATTTCCGGATATGGTCACACTGGGAAGTCTTCTGATTAATTCAAGCTCTGGTTAGCTACATTGCCGACCCTGAAAACATTATTTAGTAAATGAGAGTAGACTGTCTGTGAATTCTGAATGTGCATTACACAAGCAGCTTCAAAGGCTGTGGACCTAGTCACCTTATTGAGCCAGTTCAAAGCGTTGAGCGGGGACCCTCCGTTGCAGCCGTAGTTGCTGTATGAACAGTCTATGACCTGCTGGACACTCAGTGCCTCCAGAGGCTGCCCTTTTATGGCGCACGCGGACTCCACTGCTCCTACCACGGTGAAGGCCCAGCATCCGCCGCACTGCCAGAAGAGAAACAGGAACAGTACTTGCTATCAAATAACATGCAAATCAAGTCTGCCAACATCTCTGATACCTCAGATGATCAAATCAAGTGGGCAGTCTGGAGGCCCAGGCCCACAGGATATAAACGCCAATCCCGTCGACTTTCTAGTTGAAAAAAGGAAACGAAACCCAAAATTCTCTTGTAAGCATCAAAATCTAGTTATTCATTAAAGGTAAATTGGTAGTACCACTATTGCAGGTTAGACGATGCAGAATACAAGTGAATTTTAGAGACTGGGAACACACTTGAACTGATGGTCTTTTTAAAAAAATGAGTCTGCACAGACAGAGACAGCAGACTTGTGGCTGCCAAGGGGGAGGGGATGGGGGAGGGATGGAGTGGGAGTTTGGGATTAGCAGACGCAAACTAGTATGTGTAGGATGGATAAACAACAAGGTCCTCCTGTACAGCACAGGGAACTATATTCAGTGTCCTGTGATAAACCATCATGGAAAAGCATATGAAAAAGAATATATATATATATATATATATGTATAAGTAAGTTACTTTGCTGTACAGCAGAAATTAACACAACATTGTAAATGAACTATACTTCAATAAAATACATTAAAAAAAAAATCGAGCCAGTTCACTGAACAGGTGGCTTGCATCTAAGGTGTGTACCAACGCCGAGCCCGTTCTTCCATCCCTCTGCTTGGCCATCCACCTCCCCCCCTCCGGCTAGAAGGCAGGGATGAGGTGAGCAGGGGTGAGGATGCACATGCCTACGTTGGTCCCTTTCACGGACGGACTCAGGAACTGGCTGAATGACTCTTCAGCCCATCACAGTTATGAACACAGGAAATGTCCCAATGATGGAGACCCCTACTGCTCGTTCCTCATTGAGATACTGGCTGACGAGCTTCCTGAGTCTGGGACTCTTAACTTCCCCTCACTGGACAAACTAGAGCAAAAGAATTAAAGGGCTGGTCCTACAAGAAAGGGAGGAGGTGGAAGGAAAGGATCAAGAATTTCATACAAGGAAGAACTGCAGGAAAGGCAGAGAGTGGGATTTGAAACTGGGCGGAACTGTCTTAAGCCCGGGACCAGGTACTGCAGGCGAAGAAAGGACGCACAGCTGGTGGTGTTCGTGGAGGGAAGCTCTGAGCGATCTAATGGCCTCAAAGTGGCCTTATTTACACCTCTAGCTTCAGTGCCTGGAGCAGGGTACCGCATTCACTAGGGGACATTCCAGCAGGGTGCCCACCCCTTGAGAACTGTAAACGCAGGTCACCTTAGGTTACCCACCTACCACTGCCCCAGGGGGACAGTCCCTGCTCCAAAACATCTTTCCTTCAGTAAGAAGATTCCTAATTAAAAGTTTGCCTTGGATACAACGTAAGCACACCCTGGATGGACTGGGTTTCAGACTACATCACCCTTCATTACGAATCCAAAAATAAAGCAGATGAATACAGAACAATAAATACAGAATCTGAGAAAGCAAAAAGGATCAGCCTAACTAGATGGTGACCGGGGAACTGCTGGGTCCAAAGCGTTGGTCTTAGGAGAGGAGACTGAGTGACCCATTGAGGTTTCTACTGCAGACAAACTGGGGCCGCATCCCTGGGGTTAGGGACCAACTTTCCCAGGTCAGTGGGCATCCCCGTGCCCAGCGGGGGTGCGGGGCAAGCGCATCTGCCCTCCAACGTCTGCCGGAGAGATGGCTCGCCTCGTGAATGAGCGTGCCTACCCACATCTGGGGTCCCGCTTTCCCTCTGATTCCAGGTGATCTTCACAGGCACACTCAGGACTTCTGCAAGGTAAATGGCTGCAGCTTTTAAATTTGTGTTTCTTGAGTACAGTTGATTTACAATGATGTGTTAATTTCTGCTGTGCAGCAAATAACTCAGTTATACATATGTATACTTTTGCATTTTCTTTTCTGTGATGGTTTATCACAGGACATTGAATATAGTTCCCTGTGCTGTACAGTAGGATCTTGTTGTTTATCCATTCTGTATATGTACTAGTCTGCATCTGCTGACCCCAACCTCCCACTCCATCCCTCCCCCACCCCCTCCCCCTTGGCAGCCACCAGTCTGTTCTCTGTGTCTGTGAGTCTGTTTCTGTTTCATAGATAAGCTCATTTGTGTCATATTTTAGATTCCACATATAAGAGATATCGCAGGGTGGTAAATGGTTGCATTTACTGCAGGACTTACACACTTCTTTATCATTTAACACATGTAAAACTGCACTGCCACTTTTACTACTTCCCTGTCTTTTTTAGTGTGTCACGAAGTTTTTAGCGCTGAGCCCTAACCTCATTCTTCTATACCCCCTCTCATTTTCACTGCCTGATTTTACACAGTTGGTGATTTCTAGGAACGTTTATGTCACATTCCAGCAGAACTGACTGCACTTTTAAGGATCACAGGTACAAAGTGTGCGATCCTGTAGGGGTGGGGATGGAGGTAGGGTTTCTGAGGGAGTTCAGGGGATGAACCCAAGAGGCCAGGGCACACGGGGCGCCAGTGCCTGATGTCACGTCATTTCCCTTTTTTTTTTTTTTTTTTTTTTTTTTGCGGTACGCAGGCCTCTCACTGTTGTGGCCTCTCCCGTTGCGGAGCACAGGCTCCGGACGCGCAGTCTCAGCGACCATGGCTCACGGACCCAGCCGCTCCGCGGCATGTGGGATCTTCCCGGACCGGGGCACGAACCCGTGTTCCCTGCATTGGCAGGCGGACTCTCAACTACTGTGCCACCAGGGAAGCCCACGTCGTTTCCCTTTTGAACGGCTCAAGCGTCAGTGGTCAAGTTCACCTCCTCCAGCCTTCCACCCGCTGTTCTGCACAGGCCTGGGGACCGTGATAAGGGGGCTAGGCAGCCAGGGAGGGGCGCCCACAGAGCTCACCTCCAGAGTGAGAGCCCGGCCTGACATCCGTCTCCCCCACCAGGGGTTCTCCATTTTTTGATGATTGGGGTGTCCTTCCACCTACAGCAGTGACGGCTCCTTTACAAGCGTGATCGAACTTAACCTCAAGAGTGACTCAGACACTGATCAAAAAGGAAAAGAAAACAAACGTACTGTCTGCTGGTTCCTCACTGGGGTGACGACGTGCTTGTCCCTCCAGTCAAATCTTAATGGCAAAGACACGTTGGAGATGGATGTGTGCGCGTCCGCCAAAAACCGGGGAAAACTGGAAGGTCTGCTTCGTAAATAAATAGCTGAGGATACACGTGAAAAGAAAAGGCAACCAACATTATATTATAGGGATTCCTTTTGGAGGGACGTTTCAACAGAAACAGTGGAGTTTCTGATAAAGTCTGCCTTTTGTGCTTTTCCATACATGAAATGGATTAGCCGAAAGCTACAAAGATGAGAATCCCTCCAGTAGGGCCAGGGCTTTCACATAAAATGACGTGTTTGATAGAAGCAGGTCAAAAAAAGATGAGTATAATTGACATCATTTGTTTGATCACAAGCCATGGAACCATGGGTGTCTTGAATAGAAAGAGCACAGAAGACTGGAGGAGAGATGAGGTATTAGCCCTCAGAGCCACGTGGAAATGTCTGTATTTACGGTATTTAGTTCTTAAGCAATAACTAGAAGAGAGTGAACATGGATTTACTTTTCTAACTGTCAGCACCAGGTACGTGCTTGACATTTATTAAGCATTTAATGAATATTAAGTATTACTCAATTTACTAGCTTCACAATTGAACAATTCTCAAAAGTTAAGGAAACAAGTTAAAGTCGGGAAACTAATCAACTAGTAGCCCCATCGCACCGTACCTTTAAACTCTTCACGGAACAAATAAGAAAACTGATTTATTCCATAGACGGCAGTGGAGTTTTCACCAGGAAATACAGAATTCAAGTATCGATGTCTATTAAGACTTTCCTAAAAGGAAAAAAAAACACACTCATTTATATCACCCATGTTAACTTTCCAGAGCACGCTGCATATAGCTTACTTGGAGATAGCTTTCAGATGCAAAAGTTAAAGCTTGATTTATTTCCTGCAGATCACGATGGAAGGTCATCTAAGATAATCAGATTACTTTTATAAGTGTTTTGTATTAAAAATATTATCTGATTTCAGGAGTAATTTTTGAAGCTGGGAAAGGAATGTCCCAGGAACTCATATAAATGGGTAACCATTTATAATTCCTCTTTACTAAGCGTGTTGAAAGCACTAAATAGATGTTTATTTAACATAGTGGAAAAAATAAAATAAATTGCAAATAAACACTAGACACTAGTGGGAGTTGTCACCAAAGAGCATTCATTTGATCCAACAGCTATGGATCTGGGAACACTGTCTTCTTTATCTCCGTATTTCCCAGCACAACTAATGAAGCACGAAAAAAGGAGTAAGTAACTAATGAATCTATAAATCCGATTCTCCTTGAGCTTTATAGAGGTCTCTGTTTCATTTTGGGTAAAAGGCTTTGGGAAAGAGATGCAAGCCTGGAACTGTCCCAGGAAGATCGCCTGGCTTGTCTTTCCAAAGGGAAAATCGGACCATTGTTACAGATTCCTCAGCTTTGAGTTTTGTGATAATAATCTTAGGCTTGTCTTTTGTATGAGCACGCCTCCATTTCCTACTTCTAACCAGCTGTGTGGGACAAATAGAACTTCAGGAGACCCCACCATCTGGTAAGTTTCCAGCTCTAGCTATTCTGTACTTGCTTGTGCACTTACGTGTTTATTGCGTGTCTGTCCCATAAACCTATAAGCAAAATGAGGGCCAGGCTGGTCTGTCTTATTCGCTACTGGGTTCCCCTCACTGAGCACACACCTGGCACACAACAGATGCTTAATTAATATTTGTTGTTGAATATATGCATAACTACATTTTATATACGTCATGCCCTTGATAGTGCTAAGCTGCTTTTTTTTTTTTTACATATGTATTCGTTTTCAGATTCTTTCCCATTATAGGTTATTAAAAGATATTGAGTATAGTTCTCTGTGCTATACAGTAGGTCCTTGTTGGTTATCTATTTTATACACAGTAGTGTGTATATGTTTATCCCAAACTCCTAATTTATCCCTTGCGCCCCTTTCCCCTTTGGTGACCATAGTTTGTTTTCTTTGTCTGTGGGCCTGTTTCTGTTTTGTAAGTAAGTTCATTTGCATCAGTTTTTTAGATTCCACATACAAGCGATATCGCACGGTATTTGTCTTCCTCTCTCTGACTTATCTCACCTAGTATGATCATCTCTAGGCCCATCCATGTTGCTGCAAATGGCATAAGCTGTTTGTTTTCAAGCAGATTATTCCTGGGACTCATCGTAATCTTATTTTTTCCTTATGGAGCACGTGCCTGGAGGGACTGTTAATCAATCAACAGTTACTGAGGTTTAGAGATTTAAAGATAATCTCGATGAAGCAAGCCTCCGCATATAATTTGGGAAGGAGACGTAAAAATCCATCAACAGAACAGAAATGCAAAGCAAGTGAGTAGAGGCCGCGTGACAAATCTAAGCCAGCGACTGCAAACCGCCGAGGAGTCCAGCGGCTTCCTCGTCCTGCAAGCATCTGCTGGCCACTGTCGCGAGCTGGAGGGATGAGCGAAGGCCTGAGAAGGTAGGACCTTTACGGATGTACAGGAAAGCCCGCTGCAGCCAGGAGGATGGGCCTCACAGACCATCCACAGGGAGCTTACCCCCTGAATCTGAACTGCCAGGACTGCAGGGAGGGAGGCCCTGGTGCTCACAGGCTGCACGCAGGCCATGACTAAGCACTCGGCCGGCCTACTGGGGAAGGGCCTCCACTGAAGACTGGTTTGGGATTTGTGTGTCCCCATGGCCTCCTACCCTCCCCTGGCCCGCGGGGCGTCTAGGGTACCCTGCCCTCACCCCTTCTCTCTCAGCTCAGAGATGCTGCAGACTCTCTCCCTGACCCTCCCCCACTTCCTCTCTCAGTCCTGACTCCTGGGATAGAGAAAAGAAAGAAAGAGAAGACACACAAATCACCAATATCAGGAATCAAACAAGGGCCGCTACAGACGCTTCAGGCACTAGAAGAATCATATTCTGACCACTTGAGGCCAATAAGTTTGACAACCTACATGAAACGGACAGACTCTTTGGAAGACACACATTACCAAATCTGGATACAAGAGAAACAGAAAACTTGAACAGCTTTTTATCAAGTAAAGTCATTAAGTTCCTAACTGAAAATTACTCCACAAAGAAAACTCCAGGCCGAGATGGCTTCATTGGTGAATTCTACACAATTAAAAAAGAAATACCAATACCAACTGTACGCACATTCTTTGAGAAAACAAAGGCGAAGGGAACTCTTTGCAACTGATTTTATAAGGCCAGTATAACCCTGATTCCAAAACCAGACAAAAACATCTCAAAGAAAGAGAAATACACACCAATAGCCCTCATGACTACAGATGTAAAATCCTTAAGAAAATATTAGCAAATCAAATTCAACAATTTATAAGAAAGACAATACATCATGACCAAGTGAGGGCCATTAAAAAAGACTATGTTGGTTTAACATCTGAAAATCAATCAACATAATACACCATATTAATGGAATGAAAGAGGAAGGAAAACTATATGGCATTTTCAATAGACGCAGAAAAAGCACTTAACAATTCATAATCCTTTCACGATAGAAACTCTCAGCAGTGAATGAAAAGAAACTTCTTCAACCTGATGGAAAGAATCTATGAAGTGCATATTTCAATCAGAGGCCAACTCCGAACAGAATCCATTTGTGTCCTATTCCTACTGAATTAGTCAGAAAACCTAGACTATCTTGTCATACACGGTAGATGTTAAAGTACTGGATAAATGGATGGACAGATGAACGAAAGACTGAATCAATTCTGACCCAAGATCTCAGTTTCTGGTACATTTTCATTTTGGCAGTGTACGCGTGAAGCTAGAGCCATTGGAAATTGCCACCCGAACCACAGTGTCTTACATCAATTTCACCTCTTAATGTTTCTGTTAGACAGAAATTGTGGTTTAAAGCATTCTGGATAAAGTTTATTTGGAGGAAATAATCCAGATCTTCAGGGGCTGTTTACAGCAAACATCTGTGGTTCATTCATTAGGATCATTCATTGTAAAATGACCTTCTATTTATACATAAACAAACATGCCTCAAAGTACACACAATTTTATTTTTTAAAAACAGAGCATGTAATCATCGAGGCAAGAATTTTTAAGGTGGAGCTTCTGAAATTTTAAGCAAAATCACATGTGCATTGGCATACAAATACTTTTCTGAGGTGAGAACATACAACTTTTATTGGTTCCCTTATTGGGTCTGTGGTCTCCCACAGGGGTCAGAAGACCAGCTCTTCTGTGGTCAGACAGGGAGCCTCAGCAAATGTCAGTCCACACCTGGGCTGTAGCACAAAGAACAGGCTGAACCCAACGGCAGGGGCTTCCTGAGCACCAGAAGCTTCTAAGGAGTGAAAGGGCAGAGGGGCGGCTGCTGTCCCCCCCTTCTCCAGTCACTTATCCTGTGAGGCATCCCATAATCATCCCAGGAGGAGTGTCGGTTTGTGTACAAGTATCACAGGTGCCACCTGACTTCCGCTCAAGGAATATTCCCGGGGAACTTAGGAAACCCCGTAAGGCAGGGATGACAGAACCTTTCACCATGAACCCATGATGGTGAAAACATTACTAATCAATCAGATCCTTTCTCTAGCTGCGTCAGCAGTTCCCTGAACACCTTTCCACTGGGTTTTGGGCAGCCACTAGTCAGTCATCAATGCATTTGCAAACAAGAGGACACCTCTTTGCTCTCCCTAACTAAGATACCAAGATCCAAAGACTACAGCTGCTGGTTCAACATTTGTCCACTTTTCACCCTAAAACCTCTCCATTCTCTCTAGCACGACACAGAGCACTTTATAACTGTATTTTAATTTTTAAACTTTTTTTTCATTTTAAGTTGATTATGGAGCCAGGGAATTTTCTAGAATCGGTACATAATTTACCCCGATGGGTAAACAGAGAATCTCAACCAATTCCTAATGAGACATAATTTTATTTTATTTTTATTTTTAATTTTTATTTTTTTGCGGTACGCGGGCCTCTCACTGCTGTGGCCTCTCCCGTTGCGGAGCACAGGCTCCGGACGCGCAGGCTCAGCGGCCATGGCTCACGGGCCCAGCCGCTCCGCGGCATGTGGGATCTTCCCGGACCGGGGCACGAACTCGTGTCCCCTGCATCGGCAGGCGGACCCTCAACCACTGCGCCACCAGGGAAGCCCTGACATAATTTTAAAGAGATAAAGCTTTGCAGAGTTATACTGAGTGTCAGTTACAACACATTTTAATCCATCTTGCCAGGCCAGAGGGGTGCTTCCCAATGCTTGTGGGTACCCAGCAAGCAAGGCCCTTTCTATCTGCTCACGTCCAGCTCTGCCCAAGGTCCAAACAGCTGTTTAGGTTCAAACACAGTTTCCAGCAAGTGTGGACAGAAGCCCTCGTTGCTCTCCCTTCCGGGCCCCCATCTCAAGAACTAAACTCCCCATGGGAGCAATTGCTTTGAACATCTTTCAGGCTTTCTCAGCTCAAGGTTTTTAAACTTACTGAGAATCTTTCTCACTCTGCCCTTGTCTGCTTACAACTGTCTATCTCCTGGCATGCACCCTTGCAGAACCCGAGAGGAGCTGTATTTTCTAGACATCATCTCCTGGGTATGGCTTCTAGTATGAGTAACTATACAGTATGAGTGAATACATATATATTTATAAATTATATAAATAACATAGGTTCAAAATACATATTCATTACTCTGGCCTCCTTGTGACTTCAATCCTCAATTTTTTTTATTTTTGAGAAGTATGGCAGTGCTTTTATTTCTTCAGTCAATGAATACATTAGCAGTATGGGTGGGATTGTTTTTTTTCCTCTAAGGTGTTAGTTCACCGCCATATGCCTCCAAGCTCAGGGCAGGAATGGCATACAGGACAAAAACTTTGATCTTAAGCGATTATACTGGTGCTTCTGGTTTTGAAAGCTAGAGAAATAAATTGGTGATAAAAATACACATCTTGGTCTGGGCAAAAAACAAGAATGTGCAGAATCAGGCAAGGCTGGTGCTTCCTAAACGCTGGAGGTCCAGGGAGACGAGGAGAAGGAGAAGAGAGCAGCTACGGAATCCCATGGAAAGTTCAGGAAAATACCAGGAAAATAAGAAATGCAATTCCACTGAGCAGCAGGATTACTGATTTCATACTTGCTTTTGCTTAAGAAGGAATTTTCTTTGATAACTTCAAAAATGATAATGACCTCTCATGACCCCACACACTTTCCCTGTGTCCCCAGCCCACGGCTCCCAGCATTGGATACATATTGAATAGTACACAGTGAGGCCAACTCTAAACCATTACCTCTTGCAGCTTGCTTGGTTTCAGGAAAAACCTTATTTATACTGAGCTAACTGGTGTGTTCCTGAGTTTTAATGCTGGCGTGCATCTGAGATTACCAAGCCTTTTCAAAATAATCTGAAAAGGAAATGAAATGCTTCCCCCTTCTCTAAATCGGTCTCCACCAAGTCGGCGGAACTTGCAGGGTGTGCGCTAGTCCAAGGGGCCCGCGTTCAGTTAAATCATAAACCGGCAGGATTCCCTGAGCGTGCTGAAGGTTGGCTCCGTGCGGATAAAATTGCGACTTCAGAAGGAGGTGGCCAGCGCCCCCTCCGGAAGATGGGCAGGTTTCTCCGCCTACTTCTGGTTCCCATCCTTGAAGTGCAGTTTGGGAAGGCGGCGAGGACGCCCGGGGGCTCCAAAAGGGGGTGCGCCTTCCAATCAGGACCACCTTGGACGTAGCCAGTGGTCACCTGCAGCTGCACATCTTTCTTGGAGGACCCCTCTGTGGGTCAGCACGGCTCGCGCGCGTCACGCCAGCTCTGGAACGCAGGCGCGTCACCGGACTGCGCGCAGGCGACCCCGGGGGTGGCGCTCCGGTGGCCCCTCTGTCCCGGGACAGGAAGCCCAGGGGAACGCGGGGGTGCGCTCAGGTCCCCCTCCCCCGTCCCCGGGACAGGAAGCACAGGAGACCCCGGGGGTGAGCTCAGGTCCCCTCCCCCTCCCCGGGACAGGAAGCCCAGGGGACCCGGGGGTGCGCTCAGGTCCCCCTCCCCCGTCCCCGGGACAGGAAACCCAGGGGACCCCGGGGGTGAGCTCAGGGCCTCCTCCCCCGTCCCCGGGACAGGAAGCCCAGGGGACCCCGGGGGTAAGCTCAGGTCCCCTCCCCCTCCCCGGGACAGGAAGCCCTGGGGACCCGGGGGTGAGCTCAGGTCCCCCTCCCCCTTCCAGGACAGGCAGGCGGGAAGGGCCCCCGGGGAGCGCGGTACCCGGAAGGCGGCGGGCGGGTTGCGGCCGCTCGGCGGGGCCGCGGCGGCGCCGGGACAGCAGCAGCAGCAGCAGCAGAGCAGCCAGAGACGCCGCAGCTCCATCGCGCGCGCTCCCTCTTCCGGTCGCGGGCTCCCGCAGCCGGCAGGTACGGGGATTGGGGGCCGCGGGCGGGGCGCGGGGCTGAGACGGTTACGCCCCTTCTTCCCCGCCGCCCGGAAGTGGGCGTCCGGCGGCCGCGAACCGCGGCTTCGCGCTGTGCTCGGCGGAGCGCCCGCCCGGGACCCCGTGTTCCGGTGTCGCCCCGCGCCTGCTAGAAGAGAGCCTGAGGGTGGGCTTCGCACGGGAGTGACAGTACGCGCTGTCGCGTGACCGCACTTGCTGCCTCAAGCCCCTTCTGCCTCCTCCTTCTGTCTCGGATGGAAAGATGCAGGCAGCCGCGGAGTTTAATTTCACCTTCATCCTGTTTCTTCTGTGATGGGCTCTGACATTGGGAACCTGATTCCGAAATAATGTCTGCGAATTTGCACGGAGACATTCATTCAGCAGATGTTTATTAAATACATATCAAAACGTACAGTTGTGAAAATAGTACACAATGTTTCGGTTTATTACATTATGGCCGTTTCAAACTTTGGAAGCCAGCCAGTTTCTTCATTTGCACAAAGAAACGTAGCGTTTAATTCTTAAGTTTGTGGTCAAATTGTGTGTGTGTGTGTGTGTGTGTGTTATTTTAGACTGTTTTAATTCCTTTTTACAAGCTAGGTGCATTTTGTAGTTTCGACTCATTTTGTAGTTCAGAAGAGTGGGGCTGCCCAGATGGTCCCCAAACTCCCCTCCCTGCAAGCGGCAAACCCAGCCTGCGGCCACTTCCTGAAACCTGTGTCCCGGAACCACCAGGGTTGAGCCCACCTCTTATGAGACTCGTGGGTTTCTGGTTTTCCGTGCGGAGTGAGAACTCCAAGTAGGCACAGGGGAGAACGTTTTATCAGCATCCCTGCTAGGACCATCTTGGGGCCACGTCCTCATTCCCTAGGGCATCTCCCCGGAGGGAGCTCACCAAGTCAAAGCACAGCACGTGCCCATGTCTGTCTCTTGGGCAGTGGTGCTGCGAGGGTGTTCCGGAAGGATAGCTTTAGTTTTAATGGTACCTGGTTGAGGTTAGATTTTTGCCATCATTAGCATATTTATTTCCATTTCCCTCTTTGCTCTGCCAGACTCTGTTCCTTACACCATCCCTGATGCCCCAGGGCCTTTGCACAAGCGGGTCCCTCCTCACATCACTGCCACCTCCTCCTTGGGGAAGCCCTCCTGATGTTCTCAGCCTGGGACGGGCTCTGGCAACAGAGGCCCCAGGAACAGGCACTCCTGTGTAGCTGCATAGTTTCACCTTTAAATGTGAGCTTGTCTTCGCTCCCAGCTGGCCCCGATGACTGGGCAGGTGGTGATGGTGCAAGAGCTCCCTGAAGGTCTCCCTGGGAACCTGGGCTCCCCACACACTTTCCCTGTGTCCCCAGCCCACGGCTCCCAGGCCAGACCAATGACGGTGAAACCTGTGCCATTCACTCAGCCACAGCTGAGACCACGTCCTCCTGGTGCATCTCCAGGCCAGGGGGGCTTCCTGGAGGAAAGGGCCTGCAGACCTGGGAGGCTGGGCAAAGGACTTAGTAGAGACAAGAAAAGATGAAATGTTTAGGAGGTCCTGGGGGTTGGAGAGGATGTGGCAGAGAGGAGGGGCTACAAGGGGTCAGCCTCCCACCCTCTGCCAGCCTGGGTGGGAGGGTGTCCAGTACTGAAGGACAGACGAGGCCCCCCACACCTCGGGCCAGGCTTCTGCACCCTCAGCGCTGGCGAAGGGGATGAAGAGGCCCCGGGGAGGGCAGGGGGGCTGAAAACTGTCTCTCTTCTCCCACCCCTGCCCTCAGCAATGACTACCTGTCCCAGGAGGTAGTAAAATATATATATATTTTAGCAGACGTTTGCATTCAGATCATAGCTACTGTTTATTGACAACCTACTGAGTCAGAACATTTAAATACAGGCAGCCACCTTACCCCAGGAAAACTGGTTCAGTAAAAAAGCCATTTAAACTAAATTTATTTCCTAAGCGCACGTCAACAATTGTGTATTGAGCACCTATTAAGTGCCAGACATTCTGGTTAATGAGGATCTGTCAGTAAGTAAGTGACTGAAGAGGCAAAAATCCCCACCCTCGTGGAGCTGGCCTCCAGGGAGGAAGGATACACACAAGTTAGTAAAAGTGTTACAAGGCAATAAAACAGGATACAGAGGGTCAGGAGTGAGTGGTGGGGCTGCGATTTTCAGTAAGGTGCCTGGGGGAAACTCTCTGGGGAAGAGACATCTGAGCAGACCTGAAGAAGGTGAAGTGAGATGCTCAAGTGTCTGGGAGAGAGAAACTAAGGTGGAAAGAATAGTTAGTGCCGAGGCCTTGAGGTGGGAGTGTGCCTGGCACGGTCCAGAAGCATCGAAGACGTCCGTGCGGTGGAGAGGAGAGAACGCGGGGAGTGCAGAAGCAGCGCTCAGACTGTGTACTTCTCTGCAGGTTAAAGGGGAATCAAAATTACTTATTAAGTACTTATTAGAAAGGGATTTGAAAAAGCTTTTATCTTGAAAATTGAAGGTTGCACGTTCCTGCTAATTTTTAGAATAAACACCATCAATTTCATCTATGTGGGAGGTGTAATTCTTCTCATTAAATTGGCAGAATAGCACACTGGGCTTCCTTTGCTTCTGTGTTGGTTGTCTGTTGCTACATAACAATAACCCCCAAACTGAGTAGCGTAAAGTACTAACCTTTACGATCTCACACAGTGTCTGTGGGGCAGGCGTCTAGGAGCGAACCAGCTGGGGGATTCTGGCTCGGGCTCTCTCGTGGGGTTGCAGGTGTCAGTGAAAGCGGTTGCCACCATATCAGTAAACAAAGGATGTTGCAGCCGTCGAGCCATCACGTTCCAGCCACCTGGATGGTGAGCCCTGAGGGACTCAGGATGGAAACAGGATGCCCGCCATCTAGCCCTCAGCCACCGCAGCCACCTTGCAGTGATGGGGAGACTTGCCCCAGAGAGCTGAGGTGGGCATCAAAGGAACAATTTCAGTGAGCCCAGATTTTGCATCTTTCCACACACCGAAAAGCTCTAACTTCCTTCACTTGAGATGTCTGGTTTTCTTTACTTAACAGTAATCTTTTGATGTTCCGACTACCTGGTCTTTGTAGCAAAAACTCCTCTATATCCTGGCTCCCCCCTTGCCTCTTTGAAACAGTCCCTCCGAGCCATCTGAGAGGCTGCGTCCCGGGCTTAAGTCCTCAGAATGTTTGCCAAGTAACAATAATTCTCAACGTTTAGTTTGCGCCTTTTGTTCAGCTGACACAGACAAGCTGTTGAAAGCAGCTGTGGTCATCTGGAGGTCTCACGGGGTTGGGGGATTCGATTTCAAGCTCACATGGCTGTTGGCAGGGGTCCTCAGAGGTCCTCAGGCTTCTGGATGAAGGCCTGCGGTCCCTACCCCCTGAGGCCCCCCAAGGGCTCCACGGGGCCTGCAAGCTGTCTTCCTTAAGAGTGAGCCATTCCGGAGAACAGGGTGAGGCCACAGTGTCTCCCATGACCTAACCTTGAAGTTGCACAGCACCCTTCTGCCCTGAGTTACACAGACCAAGCCTGGTCTAGGGTGGGTGGAGGGGATGACACAGGCTGTGAACACCAGGAGCTGGACCCATTGGTGCGTCTGGGAAACAAGATCCCACAGCCTCACGTCAACACTGGCAGCGCACGCGGTCATTTGTGTGTGCGTGAGAACAATCCAGCGTTTCCACTGTTTTCACAAATGCTTCTCAACCTCTGTGGTATTCAGATCATTATTTGTTATTGTTTCTGTCTTGTCATAAACCTTCTGGGTTTTCTTCAGTTTATAATCATTTTACTTTATTTTAAAATGACTTTGCTAATGCAGCATTATTCATGATAGCCAAGACACAGAAGCAACCAAAGTGTCCATCGACAGATGAATGGATAAACAAGATGTGGTACATATATACAATAGAATATTACTCAGCCATAAAAAGGAATGAAATAATGCCATTTGCAGCAACATGGATGGACCTAGAGATTGTCATACTAAGTGAAGTAAGTCGGACAGAGAAAGACAAATACCATGTGATATCACTTACATGTGGAATCTAAAATATGACACAAATGAATTTATCTACGAAAGAGAAACAGGCTCATAAACATTGAAAACAGACTTGTGGTTGCCAAGGGGGAGGGGGTGAGGGAGGGATGGATTGGGAGTTTGGGATTAGCAGATACAAACTATTGTATATAGGATGGATAAATAACAAGTTCCTACTGTAGAGCACAGGGAACTATATTCAATATCCTATAATCAACCGTCACGGAAAAGAAAAAAAATATTTATCTTGATAAAAAAGAAATATTAAAAAGAATGTATATACTTGTATAGCTGAGTCACTTTCTGTACAGTAGAAATGAACCCCGCATTGTAAATCAGCTAAACTCCAATTAAAAAAATAAATAAAATGACTTTGCTATGGAGTTATTTTGTTTGTTTTTATTTTTACTTTAATGAACACCCATGCTTAAGATTTTCTAAGCATTGTTCTAAGTACTTTGCAAATATTACCTTTATTCAATCCTCATAACAAATCCCTGTAGGAGACGGGGTTGTAATTTTTCCATTGTGCACATGGGAACCTGAGACACAGAAAAGTAGAGGTACTTGCTCAGTGTTGTGTATCTGATAACTGGCCCATCTGAGTCGCGGGAGCCCAGCTCTAGTCTCTGCCCTGCAGCCTCTTCACTTCTTCATCCCCATCTTTATATGCTTTATGAAATTCTGCATCTTCTTAAGAGATGCATTATTAACTCCTTATCAAGGAGCACTATAATTGCGAGAGATTTTGTAAACTTTAATCAGCTAATGATACTCAAATAATTGGAAACGTAAGCCGAGGAAACTGCTCATGTTAAACTAGGGGTAATATTTGAACGGATATTAATTTCATAAGAGAGTAGTTTAGTGATGTTTTGCACGATATGTGGAATTTTGTATCCCTATACAACCTCATGACTGCAGGGTCTCAGATAATGACTATACTGATATGAGAAGGAAC